ATATATATATATATATATATATATATATATATATACACATAAATATATAAACTTTTGAACCAATGCTAATTTTGAGCTTTACTCGACTATATAAGAGATAAAATGACAAAATTCCGTGTGAATTCCAACACAAGGTCCAATGCAATAGATAGATTTCTACGAAATCTACCTAAAAATTAGTCAGATTAATTTGAATACGGTTAAAAAATTCAAATGTTCGCCGTCACTCTTATAGTGTCAATAATGGGGGCTCTTACCTTATAACATTTAAATTCACAAAATCTAATCTTAAAAAATAATAATTTATGTAAAAAATAAAATCATCCTGCAGTTGTGAAAAATTTGAATTACTTTATTTCTTAACAATTACACAATAATTAAAATTATAATAATCATAATAATAATAAATGTAAAGTGATTGAAGAATGTAAGTGAATACTTAAAGCTATAAACAATACAATTAAATATTAATTAATTCTTGATTAAAACAAATTCGCCAGCAGAACATTTCCCAGGAAAATGGAGCTGAGTAACAGGAAGGTGGAGATGCTCGCTGACGTCGCGGATCCCGCCAGTTGCTTTCGCAGTTTTTCGGGGACATCGACATACACTCGATCATATCCGACTTCTTGGATCAACTTTATCAACTGGTCAACGTCTACTTTGTCGCCTTCTGCTGACCAGATCGTCAGGGTAGCATTTTTATCTGCAGTGCTGTTCAAGAGTTTTGACCAGACGGCGATGTCACCTGCTGCAAGACCAGCTCGTACTGGATAAGTTATCGGCTGGGATGTGTTCGAAACCGTTTTTATCATTTCATCGATTTGCGCCTCGCTGTAGTTGCCGGAAATTATCACTTTTAGGATTCCATACCTTAAAAAAATTTTTATTTATTATTTAGCCTAATACTTGGATTTTTTATTTTATTAATATAATGTTTAATTACCTGGTAGTCCAACCAATTGACAAAGTACTTTCTGGTAAAGTTTTATTGGCGAGTGATAAAAATTGTTTTGAGTCAACGGGTTTGGTATCTGCGTCAACTGGTCCGCTAAGAATGTCTGCATTCAGCCATACTGGGAATGTCATCTGTAAGTTAATTATTTAAAAATTTATTGAATTATTTTTTGTCAAATTTATTTTCCTGATGATTAAGAAAATAAAAAAAAAATATTTTTAATAAAATTGCAATCATAGTTTTTTTCTAATTTCTAAATGTGGAAATTTTTTTTATTAAAATTTGTATGTTGAAAAAATCATAAAAATTCTCAAATGTCCGATATTTTTGATATGAAAAATTTTGTAAACTATTAAGGAGGTTCCGTGAAAAATCACTTTTCTTACAATATTCTTCAATTTTTTAATACGCGTACTTTTAAGTGGTCTCTATAAGAATACATTTTTTTTAATAGTCCTTGCGGTGCTAATTTTCGAAAATTAACAATTAAAAATCGTACATCTAACATGTATTCCCTATCCTTACCGTAGTTAGAGTGAATATTTTATTGGATAACAACCATACTTTTCTTAGGATTTTTTTGAAAAACTGAGAATATTTAATTGAAGTTATAACAAGTATTTTTTATCAAAAATAACATAAACGAGCCGTATTCATTTTTTTATAAAAAATGTTTGAAGTTAGCGACCTTCGATATTTTACGTGAGTGGAAGTAAGTGAGCGATAGTTTGTAAAGAGAGGCAGCACTAGTGAGTGAGAAAGAAACCAATAGCCATAACTTATTGGTATCTTTTTCTTCCCATGGAACCTTCTTAAAAAAATGAAAAATTGATGATCTTTTTACACGCTTTTTATTAGCTTCACCTGTATGTTTGTATGTTTGTAACCGACTTCTTTGGGCGGGATTTTGACCCACTTTAAACGGCCAGATTTCGTTCAAACTTTGTAGATTTATCGAGGACTGATGACAATACACTAATTTGATAAAATTATTCCATTTTTCAATTCGCAAAATATGATTTTTGTTAATTTATATAATTTTCATCTATAGTCGATAAGCTAAGAAACTTAATTTTAATTTTTTATAATTCTTCTCTACAGTCGATAAGACAGGACTTGATGTTAATTTTAATTTCCAATAATTATCTTTAGCCGATTTCTCTAATATTGACAAATTTTCGAATACTAAAGAGAATTTTAATTCTACAAAACAAATAATAATTTAAAAAAACTAAAATCACGCTTTTTATAGAAAACCAAACTAAAAAATAGAAAATAAATTTAAATTAAGAATAGTGTTAAAAATTTCAATAAATATAAATTAATAATAGTGTAAATAAAAAAAAAATGTATTTTATTTTAAAAAAAAAGCGTGGGGTGCTTTTTAAGATATTATCAAAACGATAATCACTCTACTTATATCTGTCAATAAAATATTTATAACTATTGACACCATGCACCCCACACTTTTTTTAAAACAAAATACATTTTTTTTATTTATACTATTATTAATTTATATTTATTGAAAATTTTAATACTATTCTTAATTTAAATTTATTAAAGCGTGGGGTGCATGGTGTCAATAGTTATAAATATTTTATTGACAGATATGAGTAGAGTGATTATCATTTTGATAATATCTTAAAAAGCCCCCCACGCTTTTTTTAAAATAAAATACATTTTTTTTATTAACGCTATTATTAATTTATATTTATTGAAATTTTTAACACTATTCTTAATTTAAATTTATTAAAATTTATTTTCTATTTTTTAGTTTGGTTCTCTATAAAAAGCGTGTTTTTAGTTTTTTTAAACTATTATTTATTTTGCCAAAAATTGCATTTTCTATGAGAAAAATTTCTTATTATTTTTTTGTATCTTCAATGTTTTATCCGTAATTTCGATTTCGGTTATTTACCATAGATTCTTGTGCTAACAGAATTTTAAATCGTACGCTGTACACATGCGCTCTAATCTTAACCGATAAGGAATCAGAGTCCATTTTTTTCAAATGTTTCAATAATAAATTTTGTATTTAAGAATAATCTGTATGGAACAGCTTTCAGCAAAATAATTTGTAAAAAATTGAAATCAAGATTGTAAGTAAGCTATTAAAGATACCAAAAATTTGAAGAGGATCTTTTTGATATACAAAATTAAATTTTCTACAAAAAAGTTTTTCAATTATTTTTCTTTGAGTATTTCAGCCGTAATTTCGATATCAATTCTTTGCTATAGATCCTCATGTAAATAATTTATATAGAGTGGTTATACCAAAAAATTAAAATTAAAATTATGAATAAACTAATGGGAATATGAGAAAGTTGACAGAGATCTTTTCCGTACAAAATCAAATTTTCTATAAGAAAGGTCTTTGTGTATTTCTTTTATCTTTTATATTTTAGTTCGAATTTAAAGTCCAAATTTTGATCGATGAAGTATAGTTAAAAATTGTAAACTTTTCATTAGGGTGGCGTAAAAAAACCGACTATTTTTTTTTTTTAATCTCGAGTGAAAAAATGTCAGTTTTTGATGTTTTAAGTGTCCTCTCCAAAGAACAGCTCAAAAAAAATTTTTTGAGAGGTTGCTCCAAATTCTTTTTAATTTCAAAAATCGAAATTTTTTTTTTTTTATTTTTTTTTCTCGTTACGTCATATTTTTATAGACCACAAAAAAAGGTTTTCCTGAAAGTTTCAATTCAAAATTTTAATTTTGAAAGGTCGCTCATAATTTTTTTTTTAATTTCAGGGTCAAAAAATGCTAATCCAATTAAATAATCACTAATAAATTAAAAAAATATTATGAGGGACCTTTTAAAATTCACATTTTGAACTGAAACTTTCAGGAAAAATTTTTTTTGTAGTCTATAAAATTATGACGTAACGAGAAAAAAAATTAAAAAAAAAAAAATTCGATTTTTGAAATTTGAAAAAATTTGGAGCGACCTCTTAAAAATTTTTTTTTAACTGTCCTTTGGAGAAAGCTTTTAAAACATCAAAAACTAACATTTTTTCACTAGAGACTAAAAAAAAAAATAGTCGGTTTTTTTGCGCCACCCTACTCTTTATTCTACTTGATTCAAAATTAAATTTCTTGAAATTATTCGACATGAATACTTCGAAACAAAAGTAAAATTTTGAAGAGAATATTTTTTTTCAATGTGAACTCAAAAATTCCGAAAAAAATTTATGAATACCCACGTTTTCGCGATGTTTAGTCAGAAGTTCCAAACTACCATTAAAAGCCTCGATAGTTTTGAAGTCTAACTTAATACCCTTCTTTTTGTGTTTAATCATGGCTGTCAAAAAATCAGCGAGTGACAAATCGCTGGTATTATCTGGCGGATGTGCCATTATTGGAATTATTTCTGAGGAATTGCCAACAGTTCCCAAAACAACATCAGCTTCCACCATCATTATCGATTCTACAAAAAAAAATTTTTTTACTTCCCATATTGTATTATATACTGATAAAAATAATCCTAAATTTTATTTACTGATCTGATTAATTAATAAAAAAAATCAGACGAAGAAATTAAAAAATTCTCACCATCATCCAAAGTTTGGTTCAATTTTTTAAAATCATTGACCGCATGCACCCAAGTAATTTTGGTGAGATTTCCATGGATGGTCGAGTCAAAGAAGGTCGCCGCGTCTGGCGCAACAGTCCCCATTGTGGCTTCTGAAAATATTGAATAGTTCATATTTAATAAAATAAAATGAAACTTAAAGTAGGATTTAGCAACATTAGCAGCAATAAAAATCTAATCTAGACCAGTTGAATGGTCACTGGTCACATGAATTAATAATAAGTGTAATATGAGTCAGATTGTATCAATGTCAGTTTAATACCCTCGAGTCACGTTGCGTGACAAATTTATTGGCGCTAAATTAATACCAACATTATAACATTATTAGATCTAAAGTTTGCCTCTTCACTCCGAGGTTCTCTTCTTCTTGTTTTATTATTTATTTTTTGCTCCTCTACTGCTTGCAGTATCTTTTATGTCAATTACTGCGTTCTATATCTGGAGTCATGGTCAATGTTTATATGATCGATTATTATCTATTTTTACCAGGCAATAATTTTTATTGTTTAAATCAATATTTCTTGTTTGTTTTTATTTTTTTACCATCTGTCAGCTTTTACTCTGTATTGATAAGAAGTAATCAAAGCATTTTTAAAAAGATTGTTCCGTATCTATATAGATAAATTTTTCATTGTTTTATTGTAAGATAAAAAATTTATCATGAAACACGAAAAAAACATTTTTTAAGTAACATAATTAAAATTTTTCATTTTTTTTAATTCAAAAAAAAATTTTTCTTCAAATTATTTCATATCACGGAGATTTACAATAATAATCATAAAAATACAAGACTAGGAATTATTGGTAGGGTAAATGCACCAGTTGTTGACCAGTCACCAATTAGTTGACCGATGTATAAAAAAGTTAATTAATTAATATTTTACAAGGGTTTTTTTTTCTTAAAGTATTGAAATAAAAAAATATGGCATTTAATCATCATAATAAAAAATTACGCAATTAATTGCGCAGTGATTATAGCTTTAAAAAAATATTCTGAGTTTGTTTACAACGCAACCAGCCATAAAGCGGTCAAAAATAACTAGCGTACAATTGAAGAGTAAGTGCATTTCATCATTAATTTAGTGATATTTATCGGCATAATATAAAATATTTTAGTTTTATTATGTTAATTAAAGATCAAATTCCAACTTTTTTGAAAAAATAAAGTTAAATTATAAGTTTTAATATTATTTTAAGACCGGTCAACTATTGGATCCGTCAGAAGCCCTTTACTCAGTAAAAAATTCATTCGGTCATTTATTAGACCCTCTGATTTTATCACAATCCAATTAATGACCGTATATTTATAATACTAACTTCTGAACCTAAAAATTAAATCTGTCAAGTGTTTAAAGTATTTTAGTCATTCAATATTTTGTAAATATAAAAATAATCATTATAAAATGTATATTTATTATTAAAATAATACTTAAAAATCTTTTTTGATTATTAAATTTTATTTTGTTCTAATTTTTTTAGTGAACGGTTATATCAAAGAACAAATTATTAGAAGAAAAAATTGCTAAACAATTAAAAAAATAAAAAAGAGTTACAAGCTAGTAAAAAAGCTTTAATTGAAAAAAAGAAGGAGAAGAATAAAAAAATTTTAAGTTAATCAGAAGAATTATCGTCATCAAAATGAATTTGTGATTATTTGTGACCTAAAAAAATGTGACTTTATGTTAATTATTGCTATTATTTATATTATTTTATAAAAAAGTACGATTTAAAATTATATTGTATGTTTAGTTTTGTTAAAGATGTCGTTAATACTTCAAAAGTACTGCATAAATTTAATTACATAGGGGAACCTGGGGCACGAAGGCCCCCCGGGGCACGACGGCCCCCTCAAAAATTAGGTAAAAATTTTTTTTTTCAATTTCCGTCAAGTTATGACTTCTATAATGTTTTTATGATATTTTGGGCCAATATGTAATATGTGGGGCATAATGGACCACTCGAAAAAAAAATTGTAACGAAAAATAATTTTTTTTTTTTTAATTGTAATAAATTTGTGGTAAAATGAATTAGAAAAAATTTAATTGAACTGAAAAATTTTACAAAAAATTGAATCATGCAGGAGAGAGTGGTACACGACGGTCCCCGGCATAACGGGCATAACGGCCCCTCTCATAAATTAGGTAAAATTTTTTTTTTCCATTTTCCGTCAAGTTATGACCTCTATGAGGTTTTTATGATATTTCAGGCTAATATGTGATACGTGGGGCATAATGAATCATTCGAAAAAAAATGACAAATTTGAAGAATTCATTATTTTAGACCTTTTCAGGTCAATGAAACAGAATGAATTTAATTAAACTGAAAAAATTAATGAAAAGTTGAATTATATAGCTAATAAAAAATAATATAGCTTATAAAAAAATTGAAAACACAGTTCTTTAAAATTAAAACGGTAATAATTATATTATTAACTATTGATTACAGTATCCTCTGCACCAGACAGAAACCTAATCTCAAAAATTTATTTGAATTCCTCCAAGGATGTCTTACTTTACGCAATTCATATTTCTAATCTTGACTTGATAAAAATATAAAAAAAAAGGTCTGGTTCAAGATATTACGTATTTTGAAAGCTCTATTTGAAAACTCAACCTGTGATTTCAATGTAAACTAATGTAACCAATTCATTGCTCAATAACATTTCTATATTTTTTCTTGTACGTAGGTTTAAAGCCTCCGATTGCAATAAAAGAAATTAATTATATTTTTAATTATTATCTATTTAAAACTAATTAACAATAATAACAGCTTAACAATGAAATTTGTAATAAGTTTTTAAGACGTTAACAAAAATTAAACTTTGAATAAAACATGAAATATAAATGTTCGACGAGATTAGGAAATCACATCGAGATAATTTAATGAACATACGATTATTCGTAATGATCACAGACATATTCGTCAGAATAATCTTCGCCAATACCTGCGCAAGAACCATAAGATCATTTATTAAAATTTTTACATTGAATCCATGACTCTGAGGAAAGTCCATAGCAATAAAGACAATGGCAATAATCATTTTTATATTTTAAAGGTTTTTTTATCAAATTTTTTGGTTTTGATTTTGTTTCATTTTTTTCATCATAATAAGAGATATTCCGATCCTGACATTGAATTAAATTAATGTGTTGTAATCCGAGGATTAAGGATCATGAAATAAGTTAATAAGAGATTTTTATTTTACGCAACGTTTCGGAATTTATTACTCCTTCCTCAGGCGTCCGTGGAAACATACAAAATTTATACAATTAATCAACAGATTCGGTAGAATCTGGCGCCAAGTTCCGTTCTCAAGCCAGACTACCGAGTGTGTATATACCGTAAGCAGAACGGTTTTTTGAGGTTACAAATTTTTTTTCAAATTTAATTTGATTTTTTTTTTATATGATATTTTATAATAGTAGTTCATGCTTTTTATTACGCGTATTACTTGATTATTATCAATTATCTTTATAATTTCTATTTAAAATTATTAAAAATAATCAGCACAAACTATAGCGACCCAGATTTTTAGATTTTAACTTTTTTCTTATGTAAAAAGCAGACGGCCAGAGACTAAATAAT